CAGTGCCTGGATTCCCAGAGCTTGGTTACACATGTCCCTGTATGCTTAATAGTGTCCCCTCCGTTCAAGCAAAATGTGATGAGTTGAGCCTCCGTTGTACTTCCCTCCTGTGTTTTGCCAGTAAATGCATACTACACACAGTGACCTCCTCCACCAAGAGAAGCGAAGCAGACCTCCTCTGGCCATTTTTGTAGGAAGAGAACAATATGATTTTTTTTTTTTTTTCATCTTGAAGTTAGTCAGGACAGAGGCCCATGTTGTCATCAGACGAGCAAAAAGCATGTTTTCTGAAACACAGAATTTAGAGCTCATGTTTCCACAAAGAGAAGGGAGTACAAGGAAAGAGCCAGATGGAATGGGATCTTACCCTACGGAATGTTGAGCAGCAGAAGGTGCATAGGATGTTTTTTCTACTTTCGTGATCTAGATTGCCTAACTTCTCCTTTATGTGGTATTTAACATCATAATTTCCTTGCCTTCACTGATTTTTCATATTCATCTATACTTCCTCTTCCAGAAGGACTTTCCTGGTACAGGAGAATTGTAAGGCCAAGGGTAAAAATGTCTATAGTCAAGCCCCCAATGCAGACTCATCCTAATTGGACTTAGTCAGCAAACAGCTTTTGAATGCCAACACTGTCTATGCTTCTAAATGCAACTTGCTAATAACCAGTTAATTGTATGTGTGTGTGTGTACATTGGACATATAATTATGTTCTTTACATATAAGGAAACTCTTTGGTGTGTTTAAAAATAGAATTAATAATGGATGTTGGAATTCAGCTAGTATTAATCATTTTATTATCCTTCCTAGACATACCAGTTCATGTGAACTTGTTGTTGGCAAGATTAATGTTGAAACCTCTCTCCTCTAAGAAATATCAATTTAAAACAAGATGTGCATTACACACTCAGATACCAAGAAGTGCATTTCTACAATAGTATGTACCAGCACTGCTTTGTTTTTCTTTTAAGAGTAACCTTGTCCTATTTGTTTAGATAAATTAATATGGACATCTTTTTAAAAAATGCAGACAACTTTTGACAGAAGCATGTTTGCATGCTAGCATGGGAAGTAAACAAGTACACGAATTTTAAAAAAGGAAGTTCCCAGCTTCATGCCTTCAAGTATCTGAGAAGAAGTGAGCTTGTCTTTTGCTTCTTATTTCAGAGGCCATAACCAAACACTGATCCAGGCCTGATGCTCTGGGTGGTATAGGGTGAGGGATTTCAATTGTCAAAAAAAATAATAATAATAAAAAATTTTAAAAGGTGGAAGGGGAATGAAGAGAGTGACAAGAAATGCTGGGTTAAAAGACACTGTAGAATCTGGCAAGATGTAAGCATTGCTTTTGCTTAACAGCAGGTGATCTAAATGGGGCTTTTCAAGCTAGAGCATTCCTTCCTCTGACCACCATCTTAAAGATTTCAAGGTAAAAGTTCAACCAACTAAAATGTGTCCTGCTAAAATTGTAATGATAAAAGGCCTAAAAAATAAAAGTATCTCCAATATTTGAGGATGTCCTACACTAGCTACAATTTTCCTGTGAGAAGAGTAAGTCTTCTCCTCTGGCAGCAATTAGCATATAAATGAAGATAAACTAGTAATCCCCCACTATTGGAAACCTCTGGAAGTTCCAAAGATATGTTATCCTGAAATTAAAGTTCCCAGATTTAGCTAATAAAAATACAGATGCACAGCTAAATTCTAATAGATAAGCAATCAGTAGTTCTTAGCATGAGTATGTTCCATGCACTAAAATACACCTTGTATTTTATATAGCAGCGCTGCCCTGAAAACTTTGAAAAAGCATGTAAAATATATATATATGATTCCCAACATAAATTAATTTATTGGTAGGTCTTTCGCTTAAGGGAAGCTTTTTTTGTAAAAAGGGGGAAAAAAGCTATTAACTTTCAGAATCTGATCTTTGAAAAGGTTTGTTTTGCTGATTAAAACTTTTTTTAATATAATGCTCCTCTCATACTTTGCTTACTGCCTCTATTCCAAGCTAAAGCAGTTTACTAATTTGACTTTAAACTGAATCGACCCAATAGAGTTAAGAAAACAAGTACATCAGTTTTCTGGCATTTTTCCAGTGTCTTTGTCTTTCCTTCTTCACCGGAGTGGTGAGTTAGAGCACTGGAATGGAGAGCTGTCTCTGCTGTGTAATTAAATCGTGTGTCTCAGTGACTTCTTGTGCTCCAGCCACCGTGGTAACCTCTCCTCACATACTTTTGGGGGTAAAACGAGCAGTGCCTGGATTCCCAGAGCTTGGTTACACATGTCCCTGTATGCTTAATAGTGTCCCCTCCGTTCAAGCAAAATGTGATGAGTTGAGCCTCCATTGTACTTCCCTCCTGTGTTTTGCCAGTAAATGCATACAGTAAGTGTTCAATAAATGTAGTGACCACTGTCACTCCTCCTGTGCTTTGGGTGGCCTCCCTTTCTGTCTGCAGCTGTGGGGAAGACTCATTTGTGGGGGTGGGAGAAGCAGAATTTCTGCTAGACTTTTCCCAGTCCATATGCATCTCACCCAAGGTCCTGAAGTGGGACAGTGGGTGGGAGCTTTCCCTCCCTCTTCCCGTTGCCTTGGCTGTGACCTCTCTCTCCTCGGTGGTGTGTGTGTGTAGGTAAAGGGTGAATGTAATCCATGATGTTACTAAGGGAGGTGTCGTTGCTGTTGATGGGGTAACAAGGGCTGGGAGCTCCTGGTTGGTAGAGTCCTTAGCTCTCATATCCCTGATCTCATTGTAAACAGACAGACGGACATTTCTACTTCATGCTCAAGAACCCAGCTCCCCCCTAGGGCAGAGGAGGGCTGTCAATGCCCACAGGCCCTGCTGGCTGTTCCTCCCACCCACTTGCACCCCTGCAGGGGCCCTTTGGGAGCCTGGGCCACCCCTACTCACGCCGTGTCCACTACTTCCCTGTGGCTGGCTCTCAGCTCCAGATTGGTGCTTCCCTCCCTCTTGGACTGGAAGTTTCTGACCTCTCTGACGTCCCGGCCCACCTCAAGCGGATAGCTTCCCAGATTCCCAGGCCTGCTCCTGCCGACCAGGGCCAGCCCGGCACATGGCACTCCACCCACCAGCTCTCGGAAGCACAGCTGGATGCAACTGCAGCTCCCCTTCTCACCCAGGAAGAGTTGGACAAGCTCAGATCACCCAGCACTGGGCACTGCTCATGCCCCCTACAGACTCTCAGCAAGTGCTTCAGGAATAGAGGGGGATGAGTGAGTGAATGAATGAAAGAAATTGAATAGATTGTCCCCCGTGCAGCCCTTCTCAGGCAGGGCACGTGGGCAGGGCACACCTTCCCAGCCAGGGCTTCCTGGGCAGTGGCAGCGGAGCTTGATCAGGGTGAAGCTGACCAGCAAGTGACGTTCTCTTTCCTCCCAACCACACAGTATGTGACATCCAGCACATCTTGCTTGCTAAATTAATGACCCTAAAAACCACTTCTGTGGGTAAAGAGGTAAAGTCCAGAGATCTGTGTCCCAATCTCAGTGACTGTCACTAACCAGCTGGGTGGTGACAGGCTAAGTCACATCCCGTGCCTGGGGACCCGTCCCCTCCTGTGCATATTGAGGGAGGAGGGGTTGTGGCTTCATATATGATGCTGTGTGACTGGGAGGGACAGAGTTTGCTGTCCTTTATCATCCCCACCCACCCCTTTAATTTCGCTGGCTTTGTATTGGCTTAGTGATTAGAGCAGGTCCGTAACACCCAAGCTTACAACCCCCTCTGAGGAAGACTGTTCGGGAGAGGGGCCAAGTCCCAGAAAGGAGTCTCCAAGCTCCCAGCTCTTCTAGGTCCCAGCTTCCCAGAGCGACTGGTGGAGGCTGATCCTGGAACACCAGCCCCATTGCCGCTGAAATATGGAAACAAAAACCCACTCACTCCCCTAATAAATGTGGCCGAGGAAGGACAGGGACACCAACATTTATTGAGCCCTGGTCCATATAGGCAAGTCTCTGTGACAAAGGCGACAGCAATGAATGAATGTTACATGTGGATTCTTATTTAATTATGCCAACAACACACACAAGGTACCATGTTCCACATCTCGCAGGTGAAGAAACTGAGGCTCAGAGTGTGAGGTAACAGGCCCAAGTCAGACAGCCAGTAAGGGGGGAGGGCAGGAGAAGCCCCATTTTAACTCACCAGGCTGCTGTTGAGAAGAGGGACATTCGTTATTCTAAGTGACCAACAGATGGCTGTGTAGTGTCCCGTAGTGATTTCCAGTTCCTGGTCCTTGTGTGGTCACACTCTTAGGGAAGGAAGTCCCTGTCTTGCCCCCTCTCCTGCCCTCCCTGTGGATAGTTAGCCCTCACTCCAGCCCCTGCCTGTGGAGGACCTGAAAGCTGAGTTTTTGTGCCTGTGTCCTGGATGCTCTTTCTCTGTGTTTATTTTTAGGAGGAAGATAATACACTTGACCATCTCGAAGGAGAGCCAAGAGATAGGATCGGTGAACGAGCTTCCACGGCTTGGCAAATCATCAACGTTACTAAGACAGATCTGTTTTCTCAGAATTATCAGAAAGGAGACAGCGCGGGCCAACTCAGCCTGCAGTGTAGACGGCTGGTTTCCCCTTCACCTGTCACCTTTCCGTAGAGTCCCCCTCAACAGGGGATCATGTTTCCTTCCCAACCTTCCTTCCAGATCAGTCAGAACGGAACCATTGCTATTCTCCAGCCTTCCTTGTACTCAAGTCTCCCCTGGTTGGGAATATTCCCCCTTATCTTCAGCACATTCTCATAAAAACTTACCATTCTCCCTGGCTCACATCACCTGTTCACTTCCCCATACGTCCTCTGTGTTCCTCTATCAGAAAGGATTCCCCTCCTCCGAGCTCTCGAGCATGCCTGTGTATACTTGAGATTTCTAACAC